CGCTCAGACGTACGGTTCCACGAGGCAGGTCACGCCGCACTCGCAAGCGAATCCAGAAGCCAGCAACGGCATCTCAACCCGGGCGTGTCGATCCTGACATTGCCGCGCAGACGGCGCCATCGCCCAGTGCCGCAATGTCGCAACCAGTACGCCGCTCTAGCTGTCCTGCCTCCTATCAAACACAAGTGGTTCTCGACGAGTCATCATTGGGCAAAGCAATACCAGTTGCGCCACAGCCAATAGACAAGGTTGCTGGACGCCCTCCGGCGTGGTCTCGAGGCCAGGGACGAAGACAAGGGTCGATGCCAGTGCGGTGGGGAAGCAAAGACGCCTTCACTCTTGTAGACGAGCTGCAAAAATTTTTCAGTGTGCCCTTAGACACTGGCCATCATAGATCTGTGCCACCAGCACCACCACATGAGGTGTCTCATGAAAACTTCAAGTTTGAAGTGCACAAGCGGCCGCGGCCCAGGTCCGCAGGCAGTCTGCGCAACAGCAGCTCTGGTACACCTGGCAGCAACAGCAGCAGCAGCTGCGGCGGCGTCGTTGACACCGCCAACAGCAGCAGCAGCAGCAACACAAGCAGTCGCCATGACGTCGGCAAGTACACCAGGCATGCTCAAAAGCTGGGCACTGCTGCTTCTCAAGGCTTATACCTACCCATCCGCAAGCCGCGACCGACCAGCGCCAGCCAACAAACAGCACCCGCGTTTCACTGCCGTTCATCCGACGACGCGCTGCTGCTTAAGAAGGAGAGCATTCGGTTTGACGCCAGGGTTCAGGCGGTGCTGCGGGAGTACTGGGACACTGCGCGCAGGAGCCACGTGCTGCTGGTGCACGCGGGGCAGGGGATGCTGAGGCGCGAGTACGTTGCGCTGTCGGTGCACATGCAGCAGCTGGTGAGTTGTTCACTGTTCTTCAATAAATGTCTGGTTAGATTAAGCAGCAGTGCTCAGATTGTAATGGGACACGGCGCGGAGGAGCCACGCACTGCTGGTGCACGCGGGGCAGGGCATGCTGAGGCACGAGTACGCTGCGCTGTCGGTGCACATGCAGCAGCTGTCAAAGGCGGAGGAGCCATGTGCTGCTGGTGAATGCGGGGCAGGGGATGCTGAGGCGTGAGTATGTTGCGCTGTCGGTGCACATGCAGCAGCCGGTGAGCTGTTCATTGTTTTTGTTGTCAAGTTGATTAGATTAAGCAGCAGTGCTCAGGTTGAAGTGCAAAGGCGCCGCGAGCGCATTGTGGTGACCCTGGCTTTACCACTGAGCTGAACAGCTTGTGCACACTGAGCACGGTTACCGTTCCCTTCTGGGGTGCCAGGATACCACAGCACTGACTGCTAAGCTTTTCCAGAGACACAGATTGATGACTCCAGAGTACCTGCTTTGTCAACTTGAAGAAGTACAAGGCATCACAGGTGCACAGCAACGCGTAGTGGGAGGACTCTTGCAGGGCAATTGTCTGCAAGTATGCCACATGGTGCTGCACCCTTGAGGGCTTCCGGCTCTAGTGCATACTGACCAGCTATAGTAACTGCTACACCATCAACTGTTTGTTGGCGGTATTGCCGTGCGGCACGTATTTGTGCAATTGTGGTGAGCTTTGCCCCGCTCACATGTTTCAAAGGGCGCCCAGTTGTATGGGCCGGTGTGTATGTATGTATGTTTGCTGCACGTCCACAGGTAGCAATGTGACTGAAGTAAACTGCAGCGACCAGAACATCAAGTGGCCACAAAGACGTACAGCTGAAGCACGGGGTTCAAGTGAAGAACGCCGCGATGCTATATGCTACTCGTAAATGCAGGGCAGGTATGCTGGGTATGCGCCCGCTTGCACATACGGCACGTGAAGTGCGCAACGCCATTGTGCTATGCGTACTTGCTTAACCTAGCAAATGCAAGGGCATACAGGGTATGTGCCCGCTTGCGCCCACAACACGTGAAGTATCTTCAAGAACAGGGTTGTCTGTCCTTCAGGTTGCCACATGAAGAGCAGGGAGGGAAGTAATGACAGTGCGCCATTGTGTGGTGCCAAAAAAAAAACCGTTCTGGAAGCTTGTGCTCTGCCAGGGCTACTAGCACCGAACCTGACACACTGTGAGATTGCTTACACAACACACTGTGAGATTGTTAACAAAACACACGGTATCAGAGTGCGCTCATGGCCCACTGCAGGTATGCTACCTATGCATGTGAAACGTAGTTGAACTACGGGCTTTCGATACTGGGTGCCACTTCATTGTGTTTTGTATGCACAACCAGGGATAACGGACCAGCAATGAAGACAACCCACCGCATTTCAGCGCAACACAAATGAGAGACCCCGACCTTATTTGACTGTTGCAATTTGTCAACGCTTTGAGCCAGACCCCAGCCCTAACTCTACCCCTAACCCTAACCTCAACCCTAACCTCAACCCTACCTCACAGGTCACCCCCACCGCAGAGTTCTTGCCACGACGCGCCGCAGCCATCGCGCGCAGGGAGTGGGCGTTCGACAGCAACGGCTTCGACCACCTCAACTACGCGCGCTTCGCAGCGGCCATGTTCCAGGCAGCGGCGGTGTGGGCCGCCGCCGACACGCCGCAGGCGTACCGCGATTTTCTATTGCGTATGCTCGATCAGCTCACGGTTGCGGGCGCGGATGGTCAGCGGAGACTGCGCTGGACGCGGCCACCATCAACTATACCTACCAACCCCCCTGCAGTTGAAGCGTCTGTTGAAGAGCCAGTTGAAGATGCGCCAGTAGCTGGTAGTGGCAGTAGTGACTGGGGAAAGAGGCGGGTGACGGTGGCGGTTGCGCCGGCCATAAAGCAGACGCGCCGCGTTCACCCGTTCCTGAGGGCAGCCGTCAAGAGCAGCAGCGTGCAGCAGCTGCTCAGCAACGGGGTCCAGGGGGGTGCGGCAGCCCTTGGTGATCCCGCCAACCCTAGTTGTAATCGACAGGCTAGAAGGAGCTCTTGCGTCCAGTTGTCCACGGGCGCCTTGGCATCGACGTTTTTGCACTGCGATAGGCGGGCCTCCCATACTGCGGCGACCGGTAGAGCAAGTGCCGCTGCACGCGTTCAACCTGCTGACGTGAGTCACTGTGCCAACTTCAGGAGTGGTAACTTCAGGGCAGGCGGCGCATCGCCGCCTGTTGAAGTTGTCGAGTCTAGAAGGGGGAACTTGAAAGCAGGGGGCGATGTGAGTGCAAGTTCGAGTCACCAGCTGCTGCTGCCAGTGTCGCCTCGCGACGTGCAGGTGCTGCACGCATGGAGAGACCTGCTCATGAAAGAACGGCCCATGCAGTGACTGCAACAGGCAAGGTGCTGCCAATTATCCGAGAGTCTCTTTGGAGGTTACTTGAGATCATCTGTGAGCGTTTCTTCATGTCCGTCTTCATGTTCATACATGTGCGCCTGATGGATCTGAATTCAAGCCGTCGTTTATGTAGATGCAGCAGCAAGAGGGCGATGCTGCCGCGCATCATGTACCTACTGATGCTTGCTGGCGTTCATGGATGGGTGATGCGTTGCCATGGCGGCCTCCAATTTATAAATGCGCTCTGGCTGGTATAGCAATATTGGCATTCGCTATACTCACCCATAGCGTTGCAGCAACAATATTGACATGATATGGCCGCTGTACCATGTTTAAACGCCTGTGACTTCCTGTGTGGACAAACTGAGAGGACAAAGCGCTGACACACTGCTTTTTACTGGCTTTGCATCGAAGTTAGTACGATATCATGTGTTGTCCAGGTTACCGACATTGGCGACAATACGCTGGGGGCAGAAAAGCAGCTAAACAGCTTGGTGGTCACCACTACACCACCAAAAGGAGAAGAAAAAAAAACATACAGTACACAAACAAGTACTAAGAACGGCTCATAAGACAACTCTGCTCGTTAGCACCGAGAGGTGCGGCAGCGCTCGCGGTGGCGCTGATGGTGGCGAGGGTGCATCAGGCAGCAAGGGGATGGGAGATGCTGGCTGTGAGCAGGAGCTGCGGAGTCGCGTGTGGTGAGGATACGGCTTTGGGCAGCAGCAGGGGATATTGGAACATGGGGATACGGATAGCATCAGGGCACACTGTAGATCGTTTGCTTGAACACGCAAGAAAGAGAACCTCGGCCAGGCACGTCAGCGGCGTGCTTAGGCAAGGAATCGAGGACCGGGCGCCTCTGGCCCAAATGTATACTAGAGGCATAACCGCGGTCCTCCGGCGTTTTCGCTCAAGAGATGGAGACATCGGCTACGATAGGTGTGGCTCAGACTGGGTGCCGCTGTGTCTGCCCCCCATGAGTCTAGTACAAGCCTGCAACGCAGGGCTCTAAGGGCCCGTCCGATTTTAGTTTTTTGCAATCTTATCCAACGCATCAAGCCCACCTTGGGGCTGCTATAAACACAAGATCATAAGTACACAGACTCACAGTTCTTAGAGTTACGAGCCGGAACCGTCTGAACCGGCTCGGCTCCGGCTAGTCGGGGCAGCCGAAAAGACGGATCTCGAGGTGACCGTCTTTTCCGGCTTTTTCAGAAGTGGCTCGCACGGCTTATATCATGCAGCAGCAGTCATGTGGCTCACGTACGATGTCAAGAAACTAATGCTGATGCCGCCGCCGCTGGTAGCGAGCAAGCACAAGCTCACTCAAAGCCGCCACCACACACTTTTTCGGTTCACTTCAACTGGAAGTTAACAACTGGAAAGTTGAAGTCGAAGTTGAACTTTAGTTTTTCTGTGAGCAGATGCATGCAGCATGGGGGATTGGTAGCGTGCTTCGCTGATCGGAGTAGGCGAAAGGGGTTAACTCGCTTTTGATTGGTAAGCTGACCGGCTCAACCGGCTAAGACGGTCAAGACGGTAGCGGTCACCAAGTTCCGTCTTAGACGGTTTAGACGGTCGCTGAGCTACCCCGGCTGCAATTCAGACGGTTTGGGGGACCGGCTCATAACCCTAACAGTTCTGTTGTTAGACCAGTAGGGAGTCGTGGCAAATGCGAAAAAAACAAAAAATTGATTCCGGTACGGGGGATCGAACCCCGACCTGGCGAGTGAGAGTCGCCAATCCTGACCATTAGACTATACCGGACGTGGAATTTAAACTTTCTGCAATGCTGCTGACATGCACCACTTAGTGTTGGTCTGGAACCGCAACTCTCGCTTCCTGCAGGTTGAGGATGTTTTTTTACCTGCTGCAAGAAACTGTTCGCATGACATTGTACAGTATGTACTCCAATGTTGTTCATACCATGTGGTACTTACTGAAATGAATACAAGTACTCACTGGCAGGTATATGGTACGTTTCAATACTATTACTAGTAGAAACCTCACGTACTTTTATTAATTTCGCCTCACGTACTTTTTATTAATTCTCGCTCAGGGCGCGAAAAAGCCCAGATGATTGGCATCTAGCTGTAAGGAATCTACATGTCGTATGACAGTCTGAAAGTGTCGCAACGACAACCACTCAAACGCCGCCGCCGCCAAATGGCATCTCGGGGTCCTCCCCTACGTCCTCCTCCATGTGCCCCCCCCCCTGGATTCTGCCATGTGTGTCATGACACGGCCAGAGTACGCCATGTGGAGCGCTGCCGACAGTGCCGAGCGTAAGCGCGCCAGGGCGATGCCCTTGAGAGCTTTAGGGCGCGCTCCTCCGGGCACTGACATCCTGCTGGCATACTCCGTCCCCACAGCCTCCAGCAGCTTCCGCCCCTGCTCCCTGATGCTCAGGCTGCCAAATGACCCTATTGCCAAAGTGGCAAGTTTGTAGCAATTCTGATCATAATGACCAGAATAGTGGGTAGTCTTGGCGGCCTCTTGGTCGCGGCAGCATCGCTCGGGGTCTGCTGCAGTCTTCGCCGCCCGCGACGCCACCTGTGCCTCGAAGCAGGTAACGTCCACCATGAGCGGTAGGTGGCGTGTCGGGTCGTCGTAGCCGGTCACCGGGAAGGCGTCGGCAGGCAGCACGATGTCCATCCTGCGACTCCCCGGCGGCCCGGCGGACCCCAGAAACGGCGTGTAGTCCTCGTCCACCAGTCCCGTTTTGAGGTATTGCCGCAGGATGCGCTGCGTGGCCCTCTTGACGCTATTGTGGACGATGGTGTCGTGCGCCTTGACGCGTGGCGCTTGACACAGCCGTGCATGCAGGGTGCCGCCCGGCGACTTCCCGCACAGCTTGCAGCCTGCCGTCTGCTCCTCTACTCCGATGGCGCGTTGACGGCCAGCTGCCAGGATAGGCCATCGAACGAAGCCGTTGTGGAGTACATGGGCTCGTTGAGGAATGCCATGCCGATCGAGTGCATGTGGCGCTGCCACCGGAATCGAGCAAGTGCTTGCGTGCGTTGCGTGCCCTGCGGCAGCTGTTGCAGGTCCGCCTCCACCTTATCTGCAAGCTCGGTAGCGACGGCATCTGCAAGCGCACTCTGATTGGGGCGCTTCAGGCTACACTGCAACTGCAGAGCACTGGCGTCAAGTACGCAAGCAGCAGCCGCACCAGTGCCACCACCTGCTGTCGGCTGCAGCGGCGGCTGCTGCGTAGGTGGTTGCTGCTGCAGTGGCGTTAGCGCTGGTAGCAGTATATGTTCCAGCTTGTCACCTGTTGCTGCACGTAGAGATGTGGCAGCTGTGGCGATCGTCCGCATGAGGGGCAGGCGCGCCACCTCTGCTGCTGCTGCGCCTTGTAGCATTGCTGGTGTGGAACGCGCAGCGCCTGCATTGACGGCTGCCGCTGCTGCGTGCGCTGGTGCTGCAGCTGCGTCGCCTGCCGTTGCTGCTGCTGCCAGTGGTGTTGCTGCTGCCGCAGGTGTTGGTGCAGCACCTGCCGCATTGGCCGCTGCCACCGCCATTGCCGCTGTCGCAGCCGGCACGGTTGCGGCGCCGCCTGCCGACGCTGCTCCTGTTGCAGGTGCTGCAGCAGCCCTTAGGCTAGTAGGGCCTGTAGCAGCTGTGTTGCCTATGCCCGCAGCCGCTGCTGTTGATGCTGCAGTTAGTGATGCGGCCGAGGCCACTTGAGGTGCAACATGTGCTGCCGCTGCTGCAGCAGCCTCTGATGCTGGAGCAGCTGCTGCTGCCGCCGCTGCTGCTGCCGCCGGAGTAGTTGCGCCGTGCGCCGCCGTTGCTGCTGCTGCCGCTGGTGCCGCCTGTGCTGCCGCCGCGGCCCCTGATCCAGCGGCAGCTGCGTCGTATGTTGCCGGAATGGCTGCGCCATAAGCGCGGCCAGCCGCTGATGCAGTTGCCGCTGCCGGAGCGGTCGCGCCTCCACTGGCAACCGCCGCTGCCGCTGTAACAGTTGCCGATGCTGATGCTGCTGGTGCTGGTGCTGCTGCCGCTGCTGCCGGTGCCGCTTGTGTTGCCGCATCCTCAGCAGCGTTGTCTGCAGCCGCTTGAGGAGCCGCCTGCTGCAGCACCCCCGCCCATCCAGAGAGTGCTGGTTGCAGCGCTTGCAACGTGCCCGCCACATACGCAGCATCAGCGATGTCGCAGGCGCTGGTAGTGCCAAGGCCGCCATGCCGTGTTGGGAGTCGCGCTTGCTGTAAGGCTGGGCCGTGCGCTGCCAGATGGAAGTGGGCCCCACTTTGCTCAAACTGGCGCCAGGTCTGGCCTGGTGGCTGCAGGCCCATTGAGTGCTCAAGCACCCACTGCGTGACCCGATCCCACTCCTTGGCGGCTGGCGCTGTCTGCGTAGTGGGAATGGTGCGCAGGCAGTACGTCATGCGAGGCACCACGCAGTAGCGCAGTAACCTGAACATAGCCCTCGGAGATGTCAGGCGCGCGCATCGCTCTGCAAATCGAGCCCCTGCCCCGCCTGCACCCGCTTCCCTGCGCAGCCATGCGTCCACAAAGCTGCTGTGGCCCACCGGCACCCCCAGCAACACAGCTCCACGGTTCTGATTTTCATCCGTATCCCCCACTAGCTGAACGCCCAGCTGCTGCAGCAGTTGCCGCTCGTGGTCTGTCACCACATGCCCCCTGCCAGGCAGCGCGCGTGACTTGGTGAGGTTTAGCTCCAGCCCCACCTCCGCAAAGTGTTGTTTGAGCTGCGCCACCGCCTGTATGTCATCCTGAGTCAGCGTGCAAGCGCCTGTTCGGACGTTGGCATCGTCCATGTAGGCGCCCATCCGCCTCCGCGCGCGCTGCGCGGCCGCCACCTCATTGAACCATTTCAAGCACTGAGCAATGGCGCCGCAGAAGAGCATCGGTGCCGCGGGGTCCCCCTGCTTAAACCCGCGCTGAGACATGATGATGCGCGTGGAGCCGTCGACGTGCTGGAACAGCAGGCGTGGCCGAGTGCGAACGTATGTGCCGATGAAGTAGTCGAGGAAGTCCGGCAGCTGTGCTGCTACCCATTCCGCTGCCGCCAGGACGAACACCATGTTGAAGGCATTCTTGAGGTCCAGCATGAACTGCCAGTGACCGAGCTCATACGCGAGTTTGCCGGCCATGGCCGCTTTCTCCGCTCCTGCTGAGACGGCTACCCCATACTGCCCGTCTGGCTCAAGGAGCTCCGCCAGGAAGTCTTTGCAGTCTGCCACGTACACCGAAGTGCATAGTCGCTGCAGCACCTCGCCGCAAACGATGGGCCGCTGCTTAGCTGTACCATCTTCCTGTTGTTCTGCAAGTGGCGTCAGGCGCCCCGCGCCATGCAACTGCCAGAAGGCATCCGGCAGCCGCGCAGCCTCCCGCATAACGGTCTGAAGCCACCGTGTGAGGACAGCAGCAAACTCATGCCGTCCCCAGCTTGTGCATAGCGCATCCTGCAGGTGGCTGTAGCGCAGCCCCGATGGGCCTGCTCCACTGTAAGGGCTTGCTCGCTGGATGAGCTTGGCAACCGTCTCTGGCTCAATTCCCTCCCCCTGTAACAGGCTGAGTTCTGCTGGCATGTCGGCTGCTTTCGCCACAAGCTGATCAACCATGCCGGATAGCTCATGGAGTTGTTCCCCTGGCGCAGCGGGGGGGTGTTTGGACTGCATGGCGGCAAAGCAGTCATCATCAGGTATCGCCACCGTTTTGGGCTGAAGGAAACGCGCTGCCTGCTGTAGCCCCCCCCTTGTGCCCATGCACTGTAGGACTAACCCTAACCCTAACCCTCACGTACATCATGTCATAGAGCCATGTGGCTGCACGGGTCGGTACTGCTCATTGTGTATCTGAGTTTTTCGTGTTCATGACCAATTACTAACAGCAAGTAGGTGACTTTTTGAAAACTCTGAAACACTTTGTAGGGAAACAATGTCATGCGGTGGTCCAACATAACATCGGAAGTTACTTTACACATCTGTCAGGGGTCAAGACAGCCTGCCCAGGCTGTATTCAGCTTTCAGAATGAAAAAGAGCCCCCTCAGGATTGTTGTGACCACACGACATCCTGCTGTGCAGTTGCCTGCCGTATGAAGGGCGACCTGTTGTTGTAGCTGCAAACACAGCCTGTCCGATGGCACTAGAAGAAAGAGTCTGACGCGGCTAATCTGTCAAGACTGCAGTAACTCTTTTGCGCGCTGCTGGTGATACGACTATGCATATGTACCCTCGAAGCGTGCACCTGGCACTGCACTGCGACTGCAGCGTTGACTGCAGACATGGCTACGCTGACAGTCTAGGACGGCTCAGGTACAGAAGCAGCCCATACGACAAAGCCGTGCACACGTTGTGAGGGCGGAACAAAGTGTCAGGAATATTCATTTTAGAACCGCTTTTGCCTCATCCGAACCGCTTTCGCCTGATCTGGACGAGGCCGCCGCGGACACGCGAGAGAGGGAGCAAAGACGAAGACACACACCGACAACTGCCACCAAGGTGGTGCCACACGCCACGCTGCAGATTCTGATGAGCTAGCTACCTGATGTGCTGGCGTCACGGGAGGTGCGCGCTGCAGTGTGCATCGTCGCGGCCGGTTGCCGCTGCGCCCTCCATGAGCTCAGACTGGCAGAGGTTCAGCTGATCATCATCGAGAATCGCGGTTGGTGCTGATGATCAACTCACATGCTCACTGCTGTCGCCAAACTCAACACTTTGATGTAGCGTAACAGTGCGAAAACTGCCTGGCACGAGACTGAAGCGTGTTCAAACCCCCTATTCTGTCATGGAATTTT